ATATGGAGAAACCTAAGGTGATTAATTTGCCACAGGTTTTTTTTTTTAACTTTTTGTTTCCATATAAAATGTTAAATGAGCCAGGCTCACTTTGTTAGTCAAATAGCAATAGCATTTAGGCTTATATACTGCTACACAATGCTTCATAGTACTCTCTGACGGTTTACAATGTAGAGCATTATTTGCATATTGCCCCCAATCTGGGTCCTCATTTTACCAACCTCGGGATGATGGAGGACTGAGTCAACCTTGAGCCCTGTCAGGATTGAACTCCAGGCTTGGGCAGAGTTTGCCTGCAATACTGCACTTGAATCAGTGTGCCACCAGGACTCTTCTTCAAATGCAGGAGGGAGTCGTGTTAGGACTATGTAGCACTTCCTTATAATATATTTAATTCAAAGTAATAGCCAACTGAGTAGAAACCATTTTTTTAAACTGAAAAAAAATATGTATTTGCATTTTAAATGAATGCTTAGGCACTTATTCTGCAGAATCTGGCTTTAAACCTATGGATCCTATATGATCATAAAATGTCAATGCTCTGTTGTCTAAAGCCAGGATGATCTGTCTTTTGATATTTTGAAGTTACACTTAAGATTTTTATAAGGGGCAGGATGATAACACAAGTTGGATAGAGCAGCGGTCCCCAACCTTTCCAGCTCGGCAGACCAATGGAGGCGACAGGGTGGGGAGAAGGGAGGGTTTTGCTCATGCATGCACCACTTTCACAAATGCAGCTTCGTACATGCATGCTCACCCACCACTTCCTCAGCCTGGTTCTGAATGGGCTGCAGCCGGGCACTGAACCGCAGATGTGGGTTGGACAACCCCTGGGATAGAGCCAGGAATTTGTTTTGTGGAATAAATGATGGTGTTTGTTGGCTTTCAACTGCTGAGATCTTCTTTTACCTTAGTTACAGGTAGTCCTCAAGTTATGACTACAATAGAGCCCAAAATTTATGTTGCTAAGTAAGAAATTTGTTAAGTGAATTTTGCTGCATTTTACGATTTTTCTCACCACAGTTGTTAAGCGAATCATTGGAGTTCTTAAATTAGTAACATGGTTGTTAAGTGAATCTCCATTGACTTTGCTTGTCAGAAGATTGCAAAATGTGATCACATGACCTCAGGACAGTGCAACCGTCATAAATGTGAGCCAATTGTCAAGCATCCGAATGTAAATCATGTGACCATGGGAATACTGCAATGGTCATAAGTGTAAAAAATGGCCGTTATAAATTCGAATGGTCACTAAATGAACTGTTGTAAGCCGAGGACTGCCTGTATTTGCCATTAAAATATATATTTTAGTATTAATAATCATTTTGCTATATCCAATATAGAAGCATTTTTTCCAAAATAGGCCAGTGCGAAGTTTTAGCATGTGAATGAATGGAATGGCCAAACTTTCCATTGCAATTCAGATCCATACTCCTCTCTGTGCTAATTCCACAAAAATTTAATAAAACCATGTTTCAACTGGTTCTTCCTTGAGGATAAGAAAGACTAAGTAACTGCAGTATAATTGATGTCCAAAGCCTTTGTTTTTCGTTAGGTTCTTCTAGATTGGTTGGGTTCCAACATTGAGAATTCTAAACTAATAAGACCAGTAGCTGTTAGAAAAAATCTATGAATTGTGTTTCCAAAGCAACTGGAGGATGCCCAGTAACAAATTTCAAAATGCTAATGCTGGTTCCTATTGGTCAGTTTCATAAAAGACATGGACCATATTGTATAGGTAGTCATCAACTTACAACCACAATTGGGACCAGAATTTCTACTGCTAAAACAAGGCAGTTGTCTAGGTGAGTCATGCCTGATTTTAACTTTTTTTGCCATAGTTGCTAAATAAATCATTGCAATTGTTAAATGAAACAGGCAGTAGTTAAATTAATCCATTTCCCCCATTGACTTTCCTTGTCAGAAGCCAGCTGTGAAGGTGACAAATGGCAGTCACATAACCCCAGGACACTGCAATCATTGTAAATGCATGTCAATTGCCAAGCACCCAAATTTTGATCACACCTTGGCAGTGGGGATGCTACAACAATTGTTAATTTACTAATAAGTGAGATTGTAGCCCAGGGTTGACATGAGGGGTCCTTGGTGCTCTCTGAGCTTGCTTGTTTTCTTGCAGACGTTTCATTACCCAAACTAGGTAACATCATCAGTGCTAGTCATAAAGGCAAGGATTGGTCGTAAGTTACTTTTTTAATTCTGTTGTAAGTTTGTGTGATTGGTAAAAGAAAGTGTTGTAAGTCGACAATTACTTGTTAACTGCATATGGATTTAGTTGATTGTACATTGAAAATAGGTTGTACATCGAAATTGCAATCCCACAAGAGGGCTGCAATTTCTTCCAAAATATGAATCCTAATCCATTTTCCACTCTGATTTTGTAAACATTTTTTTTTATTTTAAAAAACTATGTTCCCTAAAACTGTAAGAGGGAGGCTACATCTATGTCCTTGTGCTTGAAAGACAGTATATTCATGGTTCAGTAAAGCTGTATCCTTGAAACTAAAATACAATACCAATGTAAAACAGTCATTGCTAAGGGTATAAAATGCTTATACTTATTGCAATTTCATTTTTTCTAACTCATTTCTCTAAATAAACACTGTGACAACTTTTAAGAAAAGGGGTCAAGGAAATTGAGAAAAATGGGATCATCCGTGCACAAGTGTTCTGGCTACATACACCCCTGCCCACATAAATACATTCACTTGGCAAATACTATGATTTAGAAAGATTTATTTCTTTATTCTTGACCTTAGCAATATCTTTCAAAATAGGATTCACAGGAATAGCCTCTCAAGATAAAAGCATCAGTATTTGTCAGGGAAATACTTTCTAACAAAATGTAAAGGCAATGAGAGACTTTTATACTGTTTGTTTGTTTGTTTGTTTTGTGCCTTCCCATCAGTTTACCTATGATGACCAAATGGACATGTCCCTAAAGTTTTTTGGCAACTTTGTTTGTTTGTTTTATTTCATATTTCTTAACCACCCATTCCTCTCCCACTGTTTTGAAGGGATTTGTCATTGCTTTCCTCCTAAGGCAGAGCACAGCTCAGGGAGGGTCCAAGGGATTGCATGAGAGGTGCACCACAGGTTGGGGAAGGCATGCAAAGGTGCAAGGGAGGATCTGGCATGAGCCAAAGGGAGCATGTGAGGGTATACAAATGTGCAAGGGGATACTTGAGGATGCAAGGAAATCTCAGTAAAGGTTAGGGAGGGTGCATGAGGTGTAAAAGTAGGGAAGGCTTTCTCCAGCAACTTGGGAACTTCCTTGCCAGCTTCCCCATTAATTTTTTGGGGAAGATGGCAGGGAAAGCTACAAATGTTGATTATGTGATCCTGGGGTGCTGCAAGCGATCTTAAGTGTGAACCAGTAGCCAAATCCCCAGATTGTGATCATGTGACCACAGGCAAGCTGAGATGCCCAAAACTCCAAGGACCATTTGTAACCACAGTTTGTTCAGCGCCATCGTAACTTTGGACATTCCCTGAACAAACAGTCATAGGTTAGGGACTACCTGTAATAACATGTTTTACCTTTGAGAGATAAGATGCAAATACTGTAGTACTCTACTTGTTACTAGAGCAAATGGAAAGATTTTCTTATTTGCCTCCCTTATTCATTTCTATTTTCTCTTTTTTAAGTCATGGGTTAACAGTACTCTGACAAACCCAGAACCCTCAAATTATAGTTTTTAATCTCCTGGATGAGATTTTAGAACATAAATTGCAAAAAAAACCCACCACATTTTTGTGACATAAGATTTTGGCCTATAGTTAACATGGCATTCTACAAGATTGCTGAATCTTGTTGCAGTTTGTAATTCTCAACTTTTCTTGGATCCCTTTAAATCATTCTACAATTATCCAACCCTGTGAAGGAGATTTGAGAGGTTTATAATGTTAACAACTGCTAACTTTGTGTAACAATCCTGGATATGGGAAATACTTCCTTATTTTACAAATAAATGCTTGTTGCCAGCTTCAAATTCCATCATTTCTCATTCACATTTCTAATCAACTAGCTTTTTATAATTTAATTTGTACTTTGGTTTATGTTTTATTTTAATATTGTATGCCAACTTTCAGGATAGAAAAGAAATTAAATGAGATTTTTCAGCAAGCGGGACTGACCTAGGGTGAATTTTAAATAGGGAAAATTTTTAAAGATTTTAATAATGTCACAGCTATAAATATTTGGTTTTAATTGGCTTTTAAAGGGGAAATGTTTTTGTGTTGTTTTAATGTGCTGTGAGCCGCCCTGAGTCCCGTGGGGAGAAGGGCGGCATACAAGTTAGTGTTAAATAAAAAATAAATAAATAAATAAATAAAAATAAAGTAAATTTTAAAAATATTTTTTTTATTATTATTTTTTTATATTTTTATTTACATATTAAAACTAGTACTGGACATAAAATAATTCCAACTCAAAACTAAAGCACAATTTTCAATACATAATATCAGATAATGAAAGACAGCAGTTGAAAAATCCAGCTAAAAATCAGATGGAACAAAACAAAATGAAGAGGCAGCCAAACGTGTCTCTGGGAAGGACTCGCAGAGAAATTGGGCTGCTATTAAAAAGTCTTCTCCATTGTGATGGAGCTTCAATTGGCATCTTTTTTGGCTCTTTTGGAAAACTAAAGTAAATGCCATGAGTGGCAGCTTTTGAACAGAAGTTTAATGGTCCAAACACATTTGTAGGGCAATAAGGTGAGAGATTTGCATGACTTGTTCACACTAAAATTATGCTGATGCTGCTAGGATGTCACTCTGGATATTTCAGAGGCTTTTTGTGGGTGGAATAACATTAACTTTTGGAGTAAAACCCTGTATCTCAGTGAACAAGAATATGTTCACTGTTCTGCAAAGTGCTGTTTTAATTCCAAGAACCAGTTTGTTTGACATTAAGTATTGTCTCTAGTAAACTGTTCCCCCCCCCCCCCTTTTCTCTCTTCCCTGTCTTTTCTGGCTATTAGTCTGAAGTGTCCTGGATACCCAACAAGCACTATTCTGGCATCTATGGACTGATGAAGCTGGTTCTCACAAAGACACTTCCCGCCAATCTTGAGCGAGTCATTGTCCTTGATACCGACATTACCTTTGCTACAGACATTGCTGAGCTTTGGGCTGTCTTTCACAAATTCAGAGGTACTGTAATGCCTTTATTTCTTATTATTTGAGTTAATATTCAGGGTTTATAAAGTTCTTTGAATTTTGAGGTGTCTGTGCTCTTGCCTGCTGTTATTTTCTCCTTTCAGACTGTTGTCTATTAATTTACATTACCACAGTTAATTAGAAAACCTCTGGGAATGCATTTGTACATGAGGTGTCTCCAGTGAGGAACAGCATATATAGTAAGGTGTGAATATTTTAAAATTGTGTAAATGTTTGTTGGCCTGTATTATATCTAAGATTGCAGCGATCATTATAGTGGCAAAGCTGATGACTGAGGGAGGAGGATCAGTTCAGAACTGGTTGTAAGGACAAGCAACACAATCACAAAAGCAGAATGACAAGATGAAGTCAAAGTATTGAATACTGTTCCTGCGTTGTTTTGCATAGCAAGTAAGAAGAGAACTTCTAAGTGTAATGCAGTACCTTGCTGAAAACTCAACATAAACAAGTATTATTAAATTAAAATCTAAAGATGTAATAGCAGATTTTTTCATCTTTTCACCCACCTCCCTATAACCCCATGAATTTTCTGGGAAGCTAGAAAGCTCTGTGGAACATACTTTTCAGGAATATATTGAAAATCCCCCCCCCGCCCCTCAATTCACCTTTTTCTCACATACACTCTCATAAAATAAGAAATTGTTTTAGACAGAATGAACAAGGATGTTCATTGGAACGTATGTTATCAATTATTAATTTTGTTAACAGGTTGGTGGTAAAAATATCCACCAAACTGTTCCAGCAAAGCTATCTTTATTTGGCCAAAGAAATGTTTTTTTTAAGCAAACAGATGAAATGAACTCATACTAAAGTAATGAAAGGATTATCTCATTTATCTACATTTGCAAATATCGTATTGTTAGTTGCATTTCATCTTTCTCTTGTCTTTTAATATAATAATACCCCCAGTAAGGCACTACCTTGATCTGGTTGTGGGCATATGTGTTCTAAGGAAGATGAGAGCTATGCCAGAGGTTCAACCTTACTGGACAGGTCTCATCAGAGGAGCCAGACAAAAAGTGTCCTTTCCATAAGCAATCTGGTGAAACATAACTTACAGAAATTCATACTGTATTGGTCATTGCCCAAATCAACAAGGCCCATGCTAGATGTTAGAGTTTCTGGACATCTGTTGCTGCACAACCAGGGCCAGCAGCTGCAGGACTACTGGAAGAAAAATTGCTTCTCTGTCACAAATATACAAAGACTGAAAACAAAGAAATAAAGATTTGCTCTTACAAATAAAGTCCAATGAGAATAGATATCTGAAAAAAATGCCAGTTATGGAAAAAATAACATCCGTAACATCCATAACCAGAGGCTAGCAGATCAAGGTCAATTTATAGTATAAAATAAAGTATTCACAGAAGCAGATTGGAAGAACTGCAAAAGTCTCTATCCAGGGCAAGGAAATCAAAACCTTCCCAGAAGTAGCTCAGACAATGGAGACAAAAAGGGGGAGTCAGCAGTAGAGAAAGCCAATATAGATATTGAATCATTTTCATTCCCAAACTAGGCATCCCATCCTCTACCTTCTTTTCAGAATAAAACAAAGCTCTGTAACTAAAAAGACAAAAGGAATTGAAACAAAGAATAGCTGAGCATCTAGAACATCTAGAACAGTGTAAAAGCAACAGAATAAGGATGCCTGCATTGAAACCTGTTACTAAAAAACAGTTAGCACAAGTATTAAGAAATGCCAGTACTATAGTATCAAATATAAACAGCTCACTGCAAGAAACAAACTGATGGTACAGCACAACTGCTGTTATAATTGAATACCTTGGATGAAAATCAACAGAGAAGAAAAAGAAGCCAAAGTGCATCACTAAAATGGAAGGTCAGTTTGGAAAATAAGATCAGAATGCTAAGATCAGGTACAAGCAAGCTAGAGCAGATGAAAGAAAAGAAGCTGAAGAACAAGAAGACTAAATAATATCTGATTGATAATTATCACCTTGATACAACGAATATCACAGAAGCACTAGAAATAATAAAGCAACAAATAACAATCATAGCCAAAAACCCCAGCAGACTCAAAGCGCCAATTTCACATGCTATAGGAAGAGTCTCTAATTTCAATTGAATCAGAAACCTTTCTTCCAATCCATCTATGTAACACCGCAATGAACCAGTGAACACCTGACAAAGAAGAAACAGTGCAATTCAAATTAAATTAGGAGCTCTGAATATGAAGATGAGAAAAATAGTGACACAGAGAATCATGCCGTTTTTCAAGCAGAGATGATAAAAGACTCTATTTATCAAAGAGAATAGATGGATGTGGAATGTTACAAATACATCAGACAGTTGAAGAAGAAGAAGGAAAAAGGGTATTGGAAGAATATGTGAAGACAGTAAAGAAGATGCGCTGAAATTAGTATACCAGAAAGGCTTACTGAATACTGAAGAGACCAGTATGGTCCATAAGAAAAACCAAATGAAGAATAGTTAGAAAAAACATAGCAGGTAACCAGATAACAACAAGATCTGGCAATGACTAAGTGCAGGAAAGTTGAAAAAAGACACAGAGGGGCTAATTCTGGATGCATAAGATCAAGCTTTAAAAACAAATGCATACAAAGCCAGAATTGAGAAGACAGCAACAGACAGCAAATGCCACCTTTGCAAAAAAGCTGAATAAACAATGGACCACTTTATTAGCTGCTGCAAAAATATTACACAGACTGACTACAAATAATGGTGCATTAGAATATCTGCAAGAAGTACCATTTATCCACCATCAAGAAAACCACAAAATACACAAAGTAAAAGAAAAAAAAGTAGAAGTTAAAGTTATCTGGGATTTTAGAATTCAAACAGACAAGCACCTGCCACACAACACTCCAAACTTAAAAACTGTTAATAAGAAAAAAAAAATCTGGATAATGGATGTTGCGGTACCTAGAGATAGCAGAAGAGAAAAATTGGCAAAACCCACAAAATATAAAAAGTCACAAGTAGAAATAGAATGACAGTGGCAAAAGTAAACAAAGATAGTACCAATGAGTAACAGACTCATTGCGTGCAATCCCAAAGCACCACTTGAACACCATCAGCACTGACAAAATTGCTTGCAAAAGGCAGCTTTCCTTGGAACAGCTTACATCTTGTGACAATACCATTAATATTAAACAACATTATCTGCCTATCCTAAGTCCTTGGGAAGGACTTAATAAGTGGACAAAATGCCATGTCCAATCTAAACATCTGGCTAGCTGTCTGACCAACCATAATTTATTATTAAATTTATGTGCCACTCCTAGTGACCCTAGGCAGTTCTCAATTGTTAAAACATTTAAAAAACAAAGAACAATACAGAAACATAAAAACAACACAAGACAAAGGGACAAGAATGGCAGGGGGAACAGAAAGGGAAGAAAGGGGCATCAATCATCCTCTCTAAAGGCTTAGAGGAAGACCCACTTCTTGAAGGACTTTTAAATCTCAGTAGAGTTGGAGATGTTCGAATGTTGAGGGGGGGGGACCAAAATATTTCTACCTTGCTTTTAGAATAGAAAATTTACTTTTTGAACATAAGTCGAAGAATTCTATATTTAGTGAGTAGTTTAGAAATTTTCAGTCCTATTTTTGGATTTTGATCAGAACATCTTAGTGCAGTTTTGAAAGATTGTCTGAAATGGTGTAGGGTTCCTGCCTGAGCAGGGGGTTGGACTCGATGACCTCCAAGGTCCCTTCCAACTTTTATTATTATTATTATTATTATTATTATTATTATTATTATTATTATTATTATTATTATTATTATTATTATTATTATTACTACTACTACTACTACTACTACTACTTCTACTACTATTATTATTATAACATGCAAAGATGGTAATACTGTCATTAAAGGTAACTCCTTCTCTGCAGGAATTTGACTCTCTAATTGTTCCATTACTGAGGGCTATTGTCAAGGCTGCTAACATCGGATGTTCTTGCTTGACAATATATGAAGAAGCAGACATGTTTTATTTAGCCTGTGTATCACTTCTAGAGTTAAAGTCAGACAATGTTAGAAGGGAGGGGGGAAAGCATGTACTCGGGGAATAGTTAGCCATAACAATATTTCAGTACAGTATTTTCAAGGTCAGTTGTAACCAGAGGAGATACGGAAGGGAAAGTTCACACTTCAAACTAATTGGAGGACGTGATTGATGTTAAATGAAGGAGTGAGGTATGCTTTGTTACGGGTGATTTGGGGAAGGAGTATTCAGTTTTTTGCTTTATTATGTACGTGCCAAAGCTATGTAGCAATAAAAGGATTCTTTAAGGTAAACAAAGCCTCAAAGTTCTTTGAAAAGCTTCTTCTTTCGGAACCATGACAGCTATTCTATATCAGTAACTTTCTTACTAGAATCAGTTGGCAACAATTGTCTAGTTCAAGCCTTGTCCAATTTGATATTGCTTGAACTGTGGCAAGAATTTTTTTTCAGCAGGTGATACAGGGAGAAGTAGAGCTGTCTACCTAGAAGAGAAAATCTGCTTGTCCTGGTCGCACCATACCTTAGGGATTCTTGTAAAATATTTTAAAATAAATTTAATTGATTTCCATTTGAACCTAGATTTATGAATGTTTTACTCAAGAATGTTGTTTGGGGAACTAACATTAGCCACCAGCTGCTAATCTCTATCTAGCTGCAGTGGAGATGTTTGAAAAATTAATTTAGAATATCAATTACTTATGATATAAGAACACTGATGTTTTCCTAAAATATGTTTTAACTATAAAACAGTATAGTTTTGATTTCTGTGGTGCTTACCTAGAAACAGAAGCTAAAATAAATTTTCCTTATTTTATTTCAAGATGTGATTTTGACAGATAGCTGTTACTTTTGAAGTATGAGTGTTCTTTTCTTCAGGAAAAAGATGTTTTGTATTGTCTCTGGGAAGGTCATTGCACAGTAGGATCCAACATATACTTTAGATGAGCAGTAGTTGAACAAGGATGAATTCCTTCAGCAGAT